TTAAAAAGAGAAGCCCTTTTATGCAAATACTGAGAAGAATTTAGGTTGCAGTAGCAGGATTAATTACGTTTTATTTGCCCCCCCTCCCCTCCCCCTCTTTATTGAATTAATTTTGATTTGATGTAGTTCTAGTTTTTAGATTTCTTAAATGAAATGTGCTGCTTCTTCTGCCCTTTTTATGTGTTGAGAGATTCCTTGATCACTCCATTGTTGGGTACTATATGATTGATGGCAAGAGATATTCAGTAAGTAGTAATGAGATTACACATTAGCATTGAAAGGGAGTTGATTAAGTGGTAGCTCATTAAGCCAGAGCTTAGAACCTTTACATGATAGCTTAGATGATGATTGCATGCCTAATGGGGAGGATTAGTTTATGATGGGATCAATTGAAATGAAAGGAATTTGTCAAAAAAGGCTACGCTTGAGAAGTAGCAGGGGTTCGATGCCGAGAATGGTCTCTGGCTGAAGCAGTGGCAGATACATAATAGGCAACTGCGAAGATTCCATGAATGAAACACAGAATGCCTCCGATAGAGAGAATGTGATGATACGATAATCCACATGATTTTCTTGATTTTGAGTTTGCCATTGTCCCTATGATCAGCATTGTGAACCCAATGGCCAGTATGATCCTGATTTGCCCAAAACATCAGTGTATGCATGTCAGAAAGAATCAAGTTTTTGTTTGCAGTGTTGTTTTGATAGTAAATACCATGAGAAGAAAAGAGAAGCTACAGCTAGCTTCCTAGTAGCGGATGCCTTTACGAAATCTTCCTTGGACCACATGCAAGTGCATCCACCAAGCAAGTTAGCAATGATATGAGCAAGGGGAAGAAATAATATTGCAGCCAAACCTAGCTTGAAGGCTTGATAGCTTGGGTCTCTACACTCAAAAATCCACATCTTTAAATGCCTCACCTGCCATCAACAAATCAAGATCCAAATGAAACGATCCGCAACCAAAAGCTGAAGAAATTCAATTCATAACTGGTTTACCTTGTTTTGCGCCATCTCAGCTTCAATCCCAAGTATGCCAGCAACAACATCCAGTGCTATGATTAGGAGACAAACCAAAATACCATAATTTTTAGCCATTCTTCTTTTCCAAATTGACCAGGGGTAACAGTTCTATAGAAGGTTGTGATCAAGGAGAAGGTAGGCTAGGGACATCTTTATAGGGAATGCCTTTCTTTTTAAGCAAGCTTCAAGAAAGACAGAATAAGAATAAAGTTGAGATCATCAATAAAGGAAATGATATTAGTGAATTACGAGTCAATACCTTTTTTCATCTTGACATTTTTTTTTCTTTTGGTGCGTTCTTTTCTAAATTCTGATTCTTTTCATGAGAGACAAGGAAAATTTAAAGAATCAGGATCGACTAAGCTCAAGATCAATGGGTCATCGAATTTCCTGGCCAGGCCAGCCGAGTCTTAAATCACTGGTTTGAGGTATCACCAGCAAGGTTGTAACACTGACGTTCATGAACACCCAAGCAGAGATCCTACCTCAATAGTGAAATTATTCCCTTAATTACATCAATTACATCGGCACATTCCCCAATCTTAACTCATACAATGCTATAAATACTTATCTAACCAAAGGTAAAAACCCCCTCATTCATGTGGGATTTGATAGCCTACAAGAACGTGGAAAAATTGGTATGTACACCAAGAGTATTGTATCCTATTATTTACAAGGTCAACTTTTTTTTTTTTGGGTAAACTATAATTTTGTAATATAGATTGGTTTATTTCGACTTTTTTACTCTTTTAATTTAAAATCTATTAATGTTAATTACACAATTATGAATAGTTTCAATTTCATCTTGATAATTAAATTAAATAGCTAAGGAAATCTAATGATTAACCCACCTTTCGATATTTTATATTTTATATTTTGAAGTATCTTTTTGAAACAATATCACATATATGGAGGATAAATGAGAAATGGTGAGCTTTGATAGCTAATCAAAAGATCAGGGTGTAGCTATAGATTTGTAGGACCGTAGTGGTAACATTGAAAAATATTAAACTTTAAGGGTGAAGGAGGAAAGTTGATGAATCTATTGGAGCAAAAATGAAATTTACCCTTTTTTTAATACCCTTTCCCTTAACAAGCCAATGGGCTTTTTCCCCGTGGTCTTAATCATAGTTAAAAAAAAAAATTAAAATTTTAATATTTTATATGAAAAAATTAAAAAAATTCATACGAATATAGGTTATACCTAATATAAATAATAAAATTTAAAAGAATATTTTAAAAAAAACTTATTTCTTATTGAAAAGATGTTATGTTATCCTTTTAAGTTGAAATATTTAAATGAAAATTTTTTTATCCTAAATTGAAAAAACATAAATTTTTTCTTGTGAACATAAAATATATATATTTAAGGATTTCAAATTCTACATTGAACAAACATAACTTTTTTTTTTTTTGTGAACATAGAATAAAACAATAACTTTTTTTTTGGACATAACACACATACACACATTTAAACTAAAAAGATTTTTATTCCACGTTAAAAATACATAATTTTTTTCTTGTAAATATAAAGTATATATATGAAAGAGTTTCAAAATTCACATTGAAAAAATAATATTTTTTTTGGAATATAGAATATATATATTAAAGGGTTTCAAATTCCATAATGAAAAAACATAACTTTTTTTTTTGAATATATATATATATATTAAAGGATTTAAAATCCCACAATACAAAAACATAACTTTTTTCTTATGAATATAAAATACATATAAGAAAGAGTTTCAAATCCTACATTGAAAAAATAATTTTTTTCTTAGAAAAATAAAGTATATATACTAAAAGGTTTCAAATTTCACATTAAAAAAATAAAATATTTTTTAATATTTATATAGTGAACTTTAAAAAGTATTAATAACTAACTAAAAAAATATAAAAAAAGAGGGGCATAGGAGAAAAATCACATTTAAAAAAGAAAAAAACACCCAGCTTCGTCCAAGTTCACCTGGGTTGCTCGGGTTTTCCCAGTTTGTTGCACCGACTGGTCTTTTAATAAACCTAGACGGTCCAGCCACAGGGTCAACCAGGTCTCGAGTCGACCCATTGGGCCAATCCAGGTTTGATAACAGTGGTCTTAATGCCTTTGATGCAAAAAAAGACTATTTTTTTTTTTTAGTTTTCCTTAGACAAGGAATTATAAGCAACCTCATTGATAAAAACAGTTGTAAGAAGCAAAATAGGATAAGATTAAGTCATGGATTTGAAGAGTCGAGCCAATTACTCTGGATTTACCTTCATTTTCTTTTAAATGATAACAAAAATATTATTTTGATAAAATGTTTTTTTTTATAAAAAATATCAATAGATCAATAGCTGAGTTTTGATTAGGTGATGTTTGGAAAGACCAAGTTATCGGGTTAATTTAGGTTTTTGATAAAATTAATCAAGTTTTTTTTTTTTCTCCAACTTGGATTGGTCCAAGTCCTAGGTTAACCAAGCTCCAAGTCAACTTGTTGGGCTTTAGTATTTTTTTCCCAACCAAATCCTTCTATAGCCTAATTAAAAGATATTATACTTGAAATTATGTTAAGCACGCAACATTTAAAGATAAAGGAATGAAATATAAAATAAGAAAAAAAATTATGGTTAACATCACATTAACAATGTTTTTTTTATTCAAAAGTTTTTTTATTTATTTTTCATTCCTAAATTACAAAAGAAAAAAAAACTCAATGTAAAAAAATGTAATTGTTAGCTTGTCACAATATAAACACTAGAAAAGAGGATATTTGTGTCAATGAATTACTTTGTTTTAGATGATTTAATGAATGTGATTTTTCTCTTTAAACAACATGAAAAATGTAGATTGTGTTCGGTTTTAATCCAATATAAATTCGTCTTAATATTAAAAAAAAGATAATATCTTAAGTTTTTTTAAGACCAAACCATGCTTTCTACCAATCATCAATATTATATTTGGATTTGTCAAGTTAATCGGATTATATTAAAATAACTCTTTAATGATTTAATTTTAAATTAGTATCAGGTAAGAAGTCGAGTCGATAGGTTAGAAACTAGACCTACTAAATAAAGTTTAATAACAATATCAAATAATTTTTTATAATCTTGATATTTTTTATTACTAATATTTTCTTTATCTAATCCACAATAAATTGTAATTATTAAAGAGGTTACCATTCTTATTTTGATTTAGATTTAATAAGAGATTTAATATATTTTAAATTACATAATAAAAACCCTTCTCTATGTAATTCTAATGAAAAAAATTATTGATAGTCTCAATTCATTAAACAAAATATATACAATATAATGTCTTTTTTATTTTTATAACTATATTTATCAAATCCAGTTTTGTTTTACTAGTTTGATCAAAAGTCTTCTTTTCCTAGTTGATTTGGTAAATTCTCAACTTTATTGAAAATTGACTGATAAGATTTAAATGATCCAAAAAAAAAAACTCCCAACCCTTGCAAAACCAACGAAACCTTGTCAAGCCAACTTCATTTGTTTTTTTTTTTTTAATTTTTATCTTGAAGAACTATTGTTTTATTTTATATTTTACTTTTTTTATTTATAATTATTTTATTTAAAAAATAAAAAAATATTTTTTTAAAATATACTGAATTGATTTATAACTCACAAATTAACCCAACCAACTGTTTTTAACCAGATGAAATCCCGGGTGAGTATATCGTATCAATGTTTTCACTTCTCATGGAGGAAAACAAAAATCAAAATCCAGTCAACTTTACAAGAAGCTACACTGGTCAAGAGTCAAGACATGGGTTGCAGTAACATCAGAAGCTACACTTGTCAAGACTTCAGTCTCTGTAGAGCAAAATATTGGTGGACAAATTCTCTAGAAGAAGCTGGACATTTCTCCAATGAGAATCATCACCACTATCCTTTATCCACAAAATCAAAATCATTGTAAGAAAGCAAACACACGCTTTCCTTGGCATATTAACAATGAAGATGAAGGAAAGGAAAGGAAAATATGTCACCATCCTCAGTATATTACTGATGGAAAAGCTTCTAGGTAGATGAAGATCGATCAGAGAAGCCTCGTAGATTTGGAGTTACAGAGATGAGAGGGCCTCAATACACTCTATTGAGCCAGAACATGCTTCAAGTATGTATAGAGAACATGTTTTCTCTCCTTTAACTTACAAACATCGTTTCTTTGTTGATTTTGGTGGATTCCCACCTTGCCATTTAGTGGACTAACTAATTATTGACCGACTTTAGAGGAATGAAATTCAAGCTGTGTGTTTGTTTTTGCTAGGAATCACCATGTATTTGATGTAGTTTAACACAATGCTGTGTTTTTGGTAAATTAATGCTTAGATGATGCCGCGCTCTCTCGTTTTTTTTGTTCTTTCTTCACAATGGGGCGGGGGATGTGTTAAGTTTAAGGAGATAAGGGATAATTTGAAGTGTTTCTTGAATGACCCAAGTAAAGTTACCAAGTGGACATGTAAAGAGAAATTAATATGAAATTACCAAGTCTAGCTAGTATCTTCAAAAGCGGGAAATGTTCAGAGAAATTTTGCAAGTTAAGAACTTAATATGAGTTTTGGGCCTTTTGTAATAATTTGATCTAAAGATTGTTTCTGCAATGGCATTTTCATTGAATGTTTTGTGATTTATTTATTTATTATTTCGGATAATTATAGGTAAGTTGTGGAAAATGGGCTATTCGATTTAGAACGTTAAGGAGTCTTCAAGTAAGTTTGTGGAATTGTGATGTAATGTCAAGGAAGCTTAATGCAGATCGATTGAATTTGAGTCTTTATTTGCTTCTTACTTGTGCATGTGCATACTCGTATAATGCTTGGCAGGATGTTTTCGAGACAACGGGGCAATTTGTTGATGGACTGAAATTCTCTGGTGGTTCTCATAGTTTGATGCCAAAGTCTTCTATTAAAGAAGTGATTGACATGGCTCACAAGCATGATGTGTATGTTAGTACTGGTGATTGGGCTGAGCATTTGCTTCGTAAAGGTCCCTCCAGCTCCTCGAAGCACTGGTAAGGAAGCAGCACCTGTCTTGGTGTTTGTTTGCCATGGTTACATATTGCTTTAAAATGGAGAGATATGAATCTAGCACGATGACTGATGAACTCAGGAATATGTTGTATCCTTAACTCTAAGTCATACGTTGCTAATCACATTAACAGGACATAGATGCTGAACTATGGTTAGATAAAGCTCAAATGGATAATCGATCCATGAATATAAAAATGTATAAGATATATTTTTGGAATCTTTCCCTCCGACTAAATGGAAATGTAATGCAGGATGCTTCTGATAGAACATGACAAGCGTCTCATATCAACAGAATGATTATTGTTGCTAATGATCATATTAAGGTTGTCGGTATCATAACATAGGTTAAACTATTGACTGAAATCGGATTATTGATTCTGATGAGATCCTCCAATCAGTCAATGCTCTAAGCTTAATTTATAAGCAATTACAGCTACGCGCATGCACATGTTCGCATGTTCTGCAGTTGCATACCATTGACAGTTTCGATACAACTTTTCTTTCATAAATCGGCTTCATTCAGATTTAAAGAAGTATGGAACACTATGCATGTGGAAACCCAACAACTAGCATCCGAGAGATCTAGATGGTTGAAAGAAATTATGCTAATTTGGGAGAAAATAGACGAGAATATTCACTCAATGTTCATTCATCGAAACGCACATGTTCAAACAATTATGGATAAAAGGCTGGTGAAAATTGGTGGTTGAGGTGACAACAAGATGATGAAGCACCTGAATTCAGAGACACATGCGGTCTTTTAAGGATGCATGAGACAGATTAATGAATTTGCCTATAACAGAAATGTACATTCTTCAGGACATTTGCATCTGAACTTACAAGGTATATCTTTGTTGCGCAGAAATGGTTGAAGATGCTGATCTCCTGATCAGAATGGCCGAGAGGTGATTAGAAGCTGGGGCAGATTATAATGATTGATGCAGATGACAACTGCAAGGATGTAATTGCAACGTTCGCCGGACAACTAGGTCTTGAGAAGACCATGTTTGAAGCATCAAATGCTAAAACTGCAGAGTGGTTTATCAAAAGATATGGTCCAAAGGTATATTCCACTGTCTCTCATTTAACCATATGGTGAAATCCAGTGTTTATTAAACTCGCTGTTGCTAATGGCATGCTTTCTTTCTCAGGTGAACCTCCTTGTGGATCATTCTCAAGTAATTGGTCTAAAGTGCCTCCGAGGACACAGCATGGGTAGAAGTTGTATACTTCTCTGCCCTTGGCTCTGCATACTTTCACCTCTGAACTGTTGCTTTGTGAACATTATTAACTAATTAATTATTAAGAATTGAGAAATACAGTAATAGACGTGGGAAAAATACTATTCCCCTTTTTAGCCCATTTTCTTTTTCTTTTTTCCTTGTGATTTCACGTTTATAGGCCTGCCTAAATTGATGGCCAATTAAAGCACATTGATTAAGGAAAGACAAGATTCATAGATAGGGGATTGCAACTAAAAAATGTAGCAATAAAACATTTTTTTTTAACTTGGGGTTAAACATATATTTTGGTTATTTAATTTTTTAAATTATAAATTCTTGGTCTCTAACAATTTATAAAATTCAAATTTGATCTTAATTTTTTTTTCATTCTAGTCCCTAGTTTGAGAAATAAAAGAGAAAATGATTGAATTTTGATGGTAAAGAAATAAAGTTTTGGTTGAAATCGATTTGAGCTATGAAAACTAGTGATTTTGATGTTAATGAGTTTTTTTCATGGGAAGAGTTTATCCAAAGTGTTTTTCCCTTAAATTTACATGAAATAGCATATTTAAATTTTAAAAAAAATTTGATTTCTGGTAAGATTATAAATATATTTTTTAGGTGTTTGAGATGTTTTTTCTTAGTTTTTTAAAACTAAAATATAGTTTAAAATTAATTTTTCTTTGTTTAAAATAGATTTACTCATGATTTAGTCAAATAAAGATCACTAAAATTTAGATAGGACATACAACACATCACTTGCTATTTTGTTTTTCAAAAAATTAAGTGATAAGGGACTTATCGTCCACTTCTTAGAAAAAATAATAAAACAAAAATATTCAGGCACACGGATTATCTTAGATCCACCTACTTGAGGTTTTTTTTTTTGGAGACCTAGGAAACTTTAGGTTGTCCAAGCTTGAGATACTGAGCTTTTTCTTTTCATATTATAATTGGATTTTTTAAAAAAATTCTTGTTTATTTTCTTAATTTTATTATTTAATATCTAGTTAATTATTAATTTGACCATATAATTTGTTTCAATTTAATTTTTTTCGATCAACTTAATATTTGGTTGGTTTTTAAATTTAAATATATTTATTTTAAATAAAAAATTATTAAATCCAATTAATTCACCAACTAGGATCATGAGTTTAATTATTTATCTTTGGTGGGATAAGAACTGGCCGTCATAATTTTTTTTGGTTACATAAATAATTTTTTAATTTATTTAATTAGATGCATATATAATTGTTTTAAATTTCTCTTGAAATTTTTTTAATGTACAAAAACATGTTAAAAAATTTATATATATAATTTTTCTGAAGGAAAAAAAAAATGAACCGCAGTAAAATACAGATCAAACAGCTAGTTTAGCGTATTCCTTGCAAGCTGTTATGCCACTCTTCAAGTTTGTGATACACTCACACACATGTTACAAAGGAGAGCTGGAACTCGAGACCTTCGGGTGTGTTAGCATATCAATACAGTAAAAGGTCTTATGCAATATTCTAAAGCATTATTTTATCTTTTACTCCACATCAATCTCTCCATCACTAATAGCCACTAACCCTTGAGGCCGTGGCTGAAAGAAATTAAGCCTGGCTTCGGTAGCTATAGGCAGTAAATACTCCTCCTCCGATATACTAATTTGCATCATGAAGCAAGTTCTTGTTGTTGTTGCTGTGAAGCTTCCCTAAGCACCACCTAGTTTGACCTCAGTATAATATCTTCCTTATGGCCTTTACCTAGAGTTTAAGCGTGTACCTGACATGCTGAACCATTGAATCAGGTCTCAGGAAATGCACCTTTAACTACACATTAAGTATCCCATCTCTTTTTCCCTAATTTAATATGACCAAAAATAGATTTATAAATGATGGAACGAAGTAAAATGCACATAGATTCCAAGAACAGGAATTATATATGAAGGCATCAAGGAATTGACATGGACTCGACCTCAACCATTTTTTATTGGCACACGCTGAAGTCTATGACCTCTGGACACTCCAGACTGAGTGAAAGCAAACCTTGAATCTTGTTATGGCCACAAAGAACTTTGTTGGAATGTGTAAAACCTGCAAACTCAAGGAGTTGCAGATGTTGAGTCACCTATTACACTCAGCTCAGTATGACAACAACATCTACCTATATCCTTGCCAGTCGGAAGCTTAATAGTCCAGTCACACTCGTTTGTGTGGATTACAATGGTTATTCATCAAATTAAACTGAAAATGATGCAGTTTGTGAAGCAATCATGCATAGCTACACATCCCATAAATTAACACAAAATTTCCCTTTCTTGCACTTCTTATTGCACCCACCGCAATGTCTTAATTTTATCAAATGATCATGATGTGTTCACACGCTTTCCTTCGCAGCATGATTCAGTGTACTTGCACTTGTACCCTCACATTGCACAGTTGAAGCGATCTGTCTTAACGTCAACACATTTCTCATTGCAGCAATCTGGCCCTGGAATTCTTTTCAGTCGACAAATGCGAGGCAATTTATTGCATGTCGAATTGGCTATCGTGTTCTGCTGGGCAAGAACGCGGCCAACCCCTCGTAAAGAAGTTACAGCTTCTTGAATTTCACGCAATGAGAGTTGACTTTGCATGTTTGAGTTTTCGCTGTAATGATCTGAATGCAGAACTGCAACAGTAGCTATGGTTGCAGATAGAGCAAAAGGAGTTTTAGCAACTTCATGGCCACTAAAATGAAGCCAGGTTAGTGGAAGAAAATCTTACTGATGGAGCCTTATGGATAAATTTTTGTGTGAAAGCTGCCTATAGGAAAATGAATTTGCAGCCAACTTTTTCTGTGTGATCTTTGATCCAGGAGATTACTTAGAAATCACTAAATACCTTAAAAATTTAAAGAAATAAGTTGATTAAATGTGAAGAAAAGGTGGCCTCCTATTGATTCTGAATCCCAATTATTGTAAAGTAAAATTGACAGCAAGTTCTTCCAAGCATTTTTTAGTACTATTTCAAGCATTCTGTATCTATATTGCGCCCATAGTTTTGGGTTTGAATATAATACCATTTCATTGAACAACTAGGTCGAACAACTATGTCCTGACTACTCAAGTGTGGAGTTGATTTAACCATCTAGGTGGTGGCCAAGTAGTAAAGACTTGGGACTAAGAGGTTTGCTCCCTCTGTGGTCTCAGGTTCGAGTCCTTGGTTGCTCATATGATGGCCACTGGAGGCTTACATGGTCGTTAACTTCAGGGCCCGTGGGATTAGTCGTGGTGCGCGCAAGCTGACCCGGACACCCACGTTAATCTAAAAAAAAAAATAAGTGTGGAGTTGATTTTATAGTTAAGAATGTAATTTTTTTTTTAATTAGAAGAATTTTTGTTTTTAATATATCAAACCAATATAAAAGATATAATTTAAGATCATTCATATATAAAACTTAATCATACGTAATGCATAAATTAATTCAAAAACATCTTTTACCAGGTCTGATGCAATATGCTATATCCTAATTTTATTTTATTCTCCATTATTTTTTTTTAATGTTAAAAGAAACACCCACACTTAGCAATTATTTATCTAGTAAAGAAAAAACTAAATTACATGGGAGTGGACTAAACGTGACCAGCCAATTTGACAAATCTAAAAATAATTTAGATGATTAGTGAAAATGTAAATGACTAAAAAAATAAAATTCAAGTCGACATCTTTTTTTTTTAAATATTCACACAACTACATATTAAATTGATTCGGTCAACTTTCTAAATTTGTGACTTTGATAATAAGATTATGATAACTCCATCTAAATTAAATTAAAATAAATTATGAAATCTAATTCTAATCAACTTAATGTTAAAGAATAAAATTATAAAAAAATTATAGAAAAAAATATTAGAAAAAAAACCTAAATCAACCTGAGATAACTTGTTATATCCACGACCTATGTTATAAAACCAGAATAATCCCATAAAAAATAAATTAAAATAAATTATAAAACTTAATTCACAATTAACTCAATGTTGAAGGATGGAGTTGAAAGAAATTCATTAAAAAAAAAGACACAAAAAAATAACACGAGTAAATTTATCAAATCTATAATCTAATTTATGAGATCGAGATAACAATATAAAAAGTAAACCAAAAAACAATCCTAGTTAATATATCAAAGTTGTAACCCAAATCATAAAACTAGAATAGAATCACAGAAATCAAATTGAATAACTTATGATAACTGTAAAGCTTAAGTTATGAGATCGAGATAACAATATAAAACGTAAACCAAAAAATAATTCTAGTTAATATGCCAAAGCTGTAACCTAAATCATAAAACTAAAATAGAATCACAGAAATCAAATTGAATAAATTATAATAGCTTTAGAGCTCAAGTGACATTAACTAGAGTTTAAACAAATACTGACATGCAAAATTATTGATCAGGCTTAAGAGATGCAAATTTAATTTGTTATTCATTGAGAATGAATTTTGTATTTATTTATTTTAATTAGATTGGTAATTTCATCTTATAATTATTTTTTAAAATGATTTTTATTTATAAATATATTAAAATAATATTTTATTTTATTTTTTAAATTATTTTTATATTAACATATACATAAAAGTAATTGAAAAATATAAAAAAATTAATTTTAAATAAAAAAATTCAAATATTTGATAAACTCAGTTTTAATTGCGTCCCACACTATCAAAGTAGAAAGGCAACGAAATACGTGAGAGTACATATATTTTGAAGTGTTGACAGATCGTCTTTTCTTACATTTTCTGCAAAAAGTAATTGATTTCGAATACAAATTTCGTTTTGTCCAAAACAGCAGGAGTACTTAATGTTAAGAATATAAATTGTTAAGTAAATAATTAAAGCTAGTAAATACAAATAACGAGACATATATACATGCTGGTTATATTCATATTGTTTGATCCTAAGTATGAGATTTCCAAGGTGATGCTTTTGGCAATTCTCCGTATTTACGCTTCGATTAGTAAAATCACAAGCACTATCACAATTTGATGGTATGAAATATAAATTAAGCCAACAGAACCAGGAGTACTTAATGTTAAGAATATCAATTGCTAAGTAAATAATTAAAGCTATTAAATACAAATAACGAGACATATAGACTTGCTCGCTATATTCACATTGTTTGATCCTAAGTATGAGATTTTCAAGGTGATGCTTTTGGCAATTCTCCATATTTACACTTCGATTAGTAAAATCACAAGCACTCTCACAATTTGATGGAATGAAATATAAATTAAGCCAACAGAACCATGGTGTTCCTTAGAGAAAGAGACTCAGTCTCGCAGAAACATGAAAGGAAATATACTCTGTATCAGAGAATTACACGGTTTGTGACGCATTCATGCATAGCTACACATCCCATAAACACAAAATTCCCCGTTCTTGCACTTCTTGTTGCATCCACCACAATGTCTTTTATCAAATGATGGGTTCACACACGTTCCTTTGCAGCATGTTTCAGTGTACTTGCACTTGTAGCCACACATTCCACAGTTGAAGCGATCTGTCTTAACGTCGACGCATTTCTTATTGCAGCAATCTGGCCCTGGACTTCTCTTCAGTCGACAAATGCGAGGCAATTCATTGCATGTCGAATTGGCTACCAGGTTCTGCTGGGCAAGAACGCGGCCAACCCCTCGTAAAGAAGTTACAGCTTCTTGAATTTCAGCCAATGAGAGTTGTCTTTGCGTGTTTGAGTTTTCGTTGTAATGATCTGACTGCAGAGCTGCAACAGTAGCTATGGTTGCAGATAGAGCAAAGAAGAGTTTTAGCAACTTCATGGCTAGTAATGTGAAACAAGGTTGGTTAGAAGAAGATCTCATTGATGGGGTTTTATAGAGAAATTTTGTGTGAGAGTTGACTACAGGAAAATGAATATGGAAGCTTTGCTTTTTCTGTGTGGTCTTGATTCGGAAGTTTACTTCGAAATCACTAAATACCCTTAAACAAATTATAAGTTGATTGAATGCCAAGAAAAGTTGGCCTCCCAAAGATCCCGCATCCCCATTGTAAAGTAAAATTGACAGATAAAAGATGAAATTAAAAAAATATAATTTCATAAATTATTTCAAATAAAAAAATAAGAATTAAATATGATAGATAATTTTTTTAATAAATGATAAGAGAAAAACAAATAAAAATAAGAAGCAAAGTTATTATAAAAATCAAATCAAATTAAATTTTATGGAATGAAGTTGAAAAAAATCAAAATAAAATATATAGCAATAAAAAATCTGAAAATAAAATTTGATAAAATCTATAAATAAAATGATACTTCTAAATGTTTTACAACTTTTTAAAAGAGTTTTCCCTCTAAAATAAAAAAAAATACTTTTTTAAAAATTAAAGTAAATTTTTATTTGAGTGAAATATTTTTTTTAATCAATTTTTTTAATAATAAATAAATATAAATTAATTTGAAATTTGTTTTTTTCATGAAACAAATAATTGTAAATGCTTGGCTTGTATGTTTTCACTTTCATAACATGGATAGCAAACTTTCCTGTCCTGAGAGGCCCTCGTTAAATCCTACCCGAGGCGGATATGAGACGAGGAGTGGGGAAACTACAAACTATTTTAAATTCCTTGCATACTAGCACTATATATAAATTATTCATAAAATAATAAATAATATTATTATAAATTTTTTTAATCATCAGCATATTTATAGCTAGTAAATACAAAACCCCCATAGCTTGATGGAACCGTTCCAAACACGCCCCATTTCCATCTCTCAATTTAATTTCGATGTGTAAAAACTAAATAATAAGAAAATAGAAAGAAAATAATAGAGTGCAATAATTAATTAAGGAGATATCAAGCAAGCCATTCATTTTATGAATGTACTCCACCAGCTGCTCAAATGTGTCTAGGAAATGTTGATTGGCAGCTGGAAATAATGATTGCTTTAAACACACAATTGATAACTTTTTTACTATTATATAGTTTCTAATTTGTAAATAATGAATAAATCAATTAATATGACATCAATTTCTTATTTTCCTTTATTTTAATTTTTTTACTATTATATAGTTTCTATTTATCTATTTTTGTTTGAATTGATACATAAACATCTATTTTTTTTAATTTACATGGGTGTCCGGGCTAATTTGCACGCACCATAACTAATCTCAAGATCCACTAAACATCCTGCAAGTCCAGTAAGCATGCAAGACACCGTAGAGATAACATACGTGCACAGTAAAATTCAAATCCGAGTGTAAAAAAAGAGAACAAATCCCTCCTATCGCTAAGCTAACATCTCAATTGTCATAAATATCTATTTTTAAACAAAGAGCTAGTGGATTGAATTATTTAGTGAATTTTAAATGAGTGTTATCTTTATAAGCAATCTGTGCATTTATGATTGGAGATTTGATTGATTCTAATGAATCTTTATCTAATAATGTAACACGCAATCAATCATAATTAATTTAGGGTTATCTTAATACTCCCTCCATCCATTTTTACCGGTCATTTTTCGTTTTTAATTACCCATTTTATTTAACTATTTTAAAATCATTTTTTTACAAATATTAAATTTTGTATTGTGTCCCTTTGTGTCTTTTAAATTTGCAATCCAAAAATGCTTGATAATTTGACAATTGATTTTTACAAATATTTGTGTTTTTATTTAATTTTTTGTTGCAAAAACACCAATAATAATTATACGATTGGAGTATAAGCGAAATAATATATAAATTTTTTTAAAATCATAATTTAATTAATATCAAAATGATACAAAATTAATTACTCTCTTAATATATATATATACACACACGCCAAAAACCTTCTTACCTTTAATCAATTATTGTCTTCCAAGCAACATTTGATCCTTTCATGGGGGGCAAAAAGCAGAAATCTCTAAACTTCTAAAACTAGGGTTTTGTGAAATATAACTAGTAGGTCCTCTAGGTGAAAGATTTTATGTAAACCCCAGAGTGATTGAAAACGAACTCTAAAATGAGGAAAGTGAGTGTTTATGACACAAAAATATCGAAGACCTCCGAAGAAAGGAAATGAATTAGTTAGTATTAGATGATTGACTCGTGCTATATTATATTTTGGGTTAAATTTAATTTTTTAATATAAAAAATATTTAAATGTTATTAATGTTTTTTAATAGAAAAGAATTAAATAATGTGATGATTTACCTAATATAACTCAGTTAACTTTATTAGTTTAAAAATAACTCGTTCAATCTATGAAATTTTTTTGATTAAATAAAATTTCAATATGATACTTTTTTAATATTAAAATAATAATATAATGGATTGATGTTGAATAACCTAAATTAATATATCAAATTCATAACCTGAGGTTAAGTCTAATTTCTAATCAATCTAATATTGAAGGAAGAAGTTGAAAAAATAATTAATTAAAAAATAATCTATAAAACAACCTGATTTAACATGTCAAATTTACAACCCGGGTTATAAGACTAAAATAACCCAATAAAAAGCAAATAAAAAAAATTACAAATTTTAATCTCTAACCAGCTTAATATTAAAAGATAAAATTAAAAAATTCAATTAAAAAAAGAACATAAAAAAAACTTGAGTTAGTCCACCAAATCTATGACCCTGGCCATCAAACTAAGATAATCTTATAAAAAAAAAATGATCCAATTTAACCCAAGTTAACCTACCAAATCTGTGATTTTGATCTTGAGACTAGGATAACTCCATAGAGAGAAAGTCAAAACAAATTATAAAGTTTGATTCTCAGTTATCCCTATCAGACCTAACGTTGAATGATAAAACTTGTAAAAATCTTTATTAAAAATTTAACTTGACTTAATTGTTAAGCACTATTACCATGTCATTAAACTAAGATAATTTAATGAAAAACAAACCAAAACAAATTATGAAACCTAATTTCTAATTAAATATAATATTAATTGATGAAATTGAGGAAAAAGATCAATTGGAAATAAGAGATAAAAAATGAGTCAATTATATTAACCCGCAATCCAAATCATGAAATAGGAATAACCTAATTAAAAGTAAGTTCAATGTTGAATGACTTATTATCCAAATAATAAAACCAATATAATCTATTAGAAAGAAAAAAAAAAAGAACAACCTGATTTAATCCTGGTTTAAATGCTAAAATCTATGACTTTGATTTTAAAACTAAGATATTCTCATAAAAAGAAAATCAAAATAGATTATAAAGTTCAATTTCCAACTAATCCAATGTTGAATGATAAAATTAAAAAAAAAAGACATAAAAACAACCTGAGTTAACTCAATTTAATCCGTTAATCATTATTTTCATGTCATAAGATCAAGATAATCTAATGAAAAGTAAACAAAATAAATTATGGAGTTTAATTCTCGATTAAATCAATATTGAAAGAAAAAATTAATTAAGAAAAAAAATTTAAGTCAACTCATTAAATCTGAGATTCGTGTAATGAAAGTATGATAACTAATAAAAAAATCTAATATTAAAGAATGAAATTAAAAAATATATTAATTAAAAAACAAAAAAAATTCTTATTCAAAGAAAATTCTAATTTTATTTCAAACCGAAAAAAGAAGAAGTTATTTTTGGATTTATTATAAAGGAAATTCATATTAAGATGTTGGGATGTTACATTTTAGTCTTTCATCAGTACTAATAGATGTCAATCCTCTTCAAATAATAAGATATACTTCTAAAATTCTTATTGAGAGGTCATAATCTTTCCTAACTGGAAACGTGGAACTCTTTAGAGAAAGAACCATATTTACAAATAAAATATCAGCCCTGATTGGAGGAGGATTAAAAAAAAAAAAAAAGAGGAGAAAAATAGCATCCATGTAAATGAAAACAAGAAAAACAAAAGAGGAGAAAAGTAGCATCCATGTAAATGAAAACAAGAAAAAAGAGGTTGCACGAGGTGTTTTGTTGGCTGTTGAGCGAAAGAGAGAGTGGAGACAAAAAAAGAAAACGAAGACACAATATAAGAAATTTTTAATAATGAGTTGTTAATCAATAATCTTTGAGTTTTTACTTACTATCATCTTAAGTTTTTTTTTTATTGGGTCAATATTTCAGATGGATATTGTTACAGCAACGTTACCTCTCATTATTTGTTGTCATCTGGATCCTCAATTTGCACCGGTGCTTTCTTAACTGGTCTCTGTCTTTGTGGCTGGTGGTTGGTCCTAGAAAGGAAACTAGCTAGTAGTAATGGCGAGGAGTCCACTGAAGAGAAACAACATTGTAAGAACCGGCTTTCCTTGACAGTCCATCTTTCTTTCGCAATTCAAACGTTACAGAAATCGCTTTGTCAGAAGTGTTTGGAGTTTGAAGTCTAAACAGAAGGGATGCCTTCCAAAATTTGGTTCTCTCTGAAGAAATCATTGAAGTGCGAACTAAAGCCATCAGACGTGCATGATCCAAGGGCCAAGAGCGATCTGAGCGGCATTCAGACAAGAAATTCAATCAAGTCTGAATGTTCAAGATCCTTGTCAAATCTACGAGAGTTCATTCATGGGAGCACGAGGTATACAGAGAAGCCACTAACTAGTAGCCCAAGATCTCTAGAAAGCACTGATTTTCTCAACTCTATAGCACATGAAGTAGTCCTTTGTGACACTAAATGTGAACTGAAGATTACAGGTGGCAGGGGCTGTGACAAGGGTGGTTCCTCCTTTGTTGATATCCTTAAGCTACGGACACCTCGTCCTAGAGGACATGACATTGTGTCCCCCAGAAGGTCAAGTAGCTATTCAAGGAAGAAACATGGTGATTCTCCTATATATTGTAATGGAAACGGTGTATCTTCCAAGCCTAAAAGCTCTCATGATGCAGATTCTTATGGTTCTCCATCTTTAGTTTGCAAGAAATGTTATGCAAAATTTAAGAAGTTGGATGCTTATGAGGCACATCATCTTTCATACCATGCTGGTAAGAGGCCTCAATCCAACTACTTCAGTCTCTTAATCTGTGTATAATCAAGTTTTTCATGGTTATTTTTAACAACAATCTTATCTCTCTAGAGAGTCATTCAAATCAACATGTTTGAAGGTTCATCTTAATACGCTGGTTTTCAGAAAATTTGGGTGCCTGCATTTGTGTTTTCTTCTGCACAAATCCATATTCTTATGATGAAAATCAAGAGAAATAATCTTGAGTTATTATGACAACAGGTCTACTTTAGAGCCCTTTAAGTCAAAATCTTGAATTTATTGTCAGTTTGTCTCATAGATTTCTGTTTTCTGAAATGTCACTGCCATTGTTATGATTGCTGCAGCTGTGTTGTCTTTTCTATCAACTTATTGCTGATCATAACTGGACTTATTTGACAGCACTGTTTCAATTTTTTAGAAGCAAGCAGTCCTTTTTATTCAATTTTTTTAGTTCAATTGGCCAATAGAATCCACTTGTCATTATCCTTCTGCAGTTACTGAACTTGTGGAAGGGGACTCATCTAGGAGGATAGTAGAATTAATCTGCAGAACAAGGTGGTTACAATCTGAGAACAACTGTGTTACTATAGAGAGGGTTTTGAAGGTCCACAACATGCAAATGACCCTTGTTCAATTTGAAGAACATAGAGAAATGGTGAAAATCAAAGCTAGCAAACTGCCTACGAAACATTCGCGTTGTCTCGCCGACGGCAATGAGCTTTTGAGGTTCCATGGCACAACTGTTGCTTGTTCTCTTGGTCTGAATGGCTCCTCTAGTCTTTGTAGAATGGAGAAATGCGGTGTATGCCAGATTTTGAGACATGGGTTCACTGATAAAGATGTCAACGGCATTGGGGTCGGAATTTTTACTACTTCCACAAGTGGAAGAGCCTTGGAATCTGTAGAAGCAAGTCAAGATAACCAAGATGTAAGAAAGGCTTTGTTACTATGTAGAGTTATTGCTGGAAGGGTTCGTAGGCCTTTGGAAAACGCTCAAGAAATTGCAGGTCAATCAGGCTTTGATTCACTTGCTGGGAAAGCTGGTCAAAATTCACATCTACTTGAGGAACTGTATCTGCTAAATCCCAAAGCTCTCCTTCCTTGCTTTGTGGTAACTTGTAATCATGAATGTTAAGAGATCAAATACAAGTTATGAAAATTCTTCTCTGCTTTCATTTTCTTGATTCTTTTCTCCCCACTTTGAAATACAATTTTAAGTTACAGTTTTGTTTTTTTTTTCATTTGTAACTGCGGATTAATGCATTTTAAAAGTATATTTGACTTGAAAAATTATTAAATTGAATTTTTATAGTATTTTCAAGTGAAAAATATTTTTTTAAAAACATGTTACAGTTATATTTTTTTATTGTTTTAATATTCTAATATTAAAAATAAATTTTAAAAAATAAAAAAATATTATTTTAATATATTTTAAAATAAAAAACGACAAACAAAAACATCCATGACTTTCATCTGCTCAACGTTGGTCGATCAGTTCAACCTTAATGTGCCATGAAATTATGGATTATTTTAAATGCCCGTCAGGACCAGCACACATGAGCGCACATACATTCTATGCTATTGAATAATGCTTCATCTGTCCCATGTCTCGGCCTTCTCAATTCTCTCCATCGTCTTAAAAAAGCTTAGGGCATGGGTTAATTGATACTTAATAGAACGCAGCTCCGCATGGAGCTCTCGTTGCTTTAAAGGAGAAAAATAGTTGAAAACCCTAGGAATTCATATTTTTTTTTATGCAGAAATGACCCCTTGAGATGCAGATTTTGTCCCTTCTTCCATGATTTTTATTTTCTGGTAACCACCGATCACTTATCTGGAGGCTGTCGACACCACTGGTGGAGGTTCAGTGTGCATTAAACACTGCATGGTCCCCTATCCTCTCACTGCACGGGTTGGTCACTTCCAAAAGTCAATTAATTTGAGTTTTTTCTACCGCTCACACAGCGGCTGACTGTAGAATCAAACTGTTTGGAATTATAGACATAATTATGATTTAAAATATTTTTATTTATAAATATATTAAAATAAATATTTTATTTTTTAAAATTATTTTTATATTAGCACATTAAAACAATTGAAAATATAAAAAAAATCAAAATTATTTTCGTACACTGATGTCAAGAATTTCTTTAAAAAATTTTTTTTTATTATTTTAATGTATTTCTAGAAAAAAAAATACTTTGAATTGCATTCCTTTTCAGTCTTTATAAAAAAATCAAAATTATTTTAGTACATTGATGTCAAGAAGATTTTTTAAAAATAATTTTTTTTATTTTAATGTATTTCTAAAAAAAAAACTTTGAATTGCATTCCTTTTCAGTCTTTCATGGCAGACCGTTTGAATGTCAAAATGGTAAATAAATGGAAGACCGTTTGAATTTCCATGTCATTTTCGCCACATGCTCTCTATTTAGTTCCTACAAGCCATTATCCACGCTGCGCTCCGATTGAGATTTCAAGGTTTTTTTTTTTTTTTTTTTAACTCAAAGAGAAGAATGAGCTGGTATTTTGAATAAATTTTCTTGCATCATGAAAAATAAATTAGCTGTGAATTTAAAAATTAATTTTTTTTTTGTTTAATGAAATAAAGAGATAGATAAAAGGTGCATATATGTGCCGCTAAAAACGTTATTTCTCTGATGAGAATCCCTTTCCTTTGTCAATGCAGTGCGCTCCTTTTTTTTTCATAAAATATTTTTTTGTCAATGGTTTTATTTTATTTTTGAATAAAATATTATCATAATTTTAATATTAATGTTTTAATAAGACAAGATAAATTAATAATTTTAACTTGCATATGTTAAAGATATTTATTCTCATTTATAAAATTATTGATTTAACTTTATATATAACTATTAAGAAAGTAATTGTTAATATTAAAATAAAAAAGATAATATTATTTAAAAATAATGGCATAACTGAGTGATTATTTAAACCTCATTGAAATAATTTAATAAAAAAAATATATAAAAAAACAATAGGATTAAGAAATTAAAGGCATGAATGGGCTGGATATATATATCTAGCTCATTAGGATTGGGCTTGATAAAAAATTAATTTTTTCTTCATTTTAAATTCTTTTAATGGGCCTGATTTTTATGTTTTTTTTTTTAATTAAATGGTGAGCTAATAAGCCTAAAAAAAGTTCTTGAGCTCTGAACTTTTTTTTCGAAAAACATCTCCATGAAATTTCTCTCACGAAGACGAATCAATATACACTGTAATCCAAATAATTGGTGATCAAGATCTAACTCACTCCAAAGTCTTGTCTCTTGTCAAGATTTTCTGATTGCTGCCTTTCTACTCCGTCAAGATTTTAAGGACTGAAATGAAAAAAGAATAAAGTTCGAGACCGAGATGAAAAATACAAAAATAAAAAGGATCAAATTTTAAATAATTTTGAAATTAAGAGTCAAAAGTATAGATTCACGCGCCCATGAAACATTAAAAATGGAAAAGTCTGCTCATTTTTGTCAATTTCAAATTTAATTATGTGTCGTTTGCAACAATTTAAAACTTAGAATGCAAAATCAACATGTCATTAAATTCCAAAATAATCTCCGTATCTTGGGTGCACACTAAAACAAAGACTAAAGAGAATAAAAAAAAATCAAAGACAACAAAAATTAAAAAAGAAAAAAGAAAACATGAGGACCAAATTAAAAGAAGCTGCAGCTTAAAGATCAAAATGAAAAAAAAAAACCTAAAGGGATTACGTAGGAAATTAGGCAATGCTACAGTGCTTACAAAGAGAAATCTGTGAGGGGATGAATAAAAATGTCACAGTGAAAGGGCGACTTTTTGAATTTATTTGTCAATAAAGCAATTTCATCTCAAGCCAAGGAACGAATGAAATTCTGTTCTTTGTAGGTGTGGTGCGCTGAGCTCAAAATAATAATAATGGAAAAATAAAGAATTATGTATATATTGTTTTTGTTAATTGAAAAAAAAATCATTAAATAAAAATTATCTTATAAAAACCGATATATATATCAATCGATAATTTCAAAAAAAAAAAAACAAGAAGAAGAAAAGGCACATGAGTGAAAAAATTCAAAATATACAAAGTCTATTGAAAATTATCAATTAAAACAAAATAAAAGGATCTGCCTTATATTTTATGGTTCATCATATTAATTGCACTCATTAACTATATATAAATTAATTTTCGAAAATAAATGACACGCAAGCAAAAGCTTAATTACCTGGATAGATACTAAACCTTATCTCAAGGATTGTCCTCCATTCTATAGCTATATAAAAATAATTTCATTAAAATAGGCCTATAAAAAAAACTGTCCTGATGCATTCATTCTCCTAAATGTTATAATAATATTCATTCTCCTAAATGTTGATTATAATAATATTTGGATATATATATATATATATATATATATATATATATATATAACATGGAAGGGTAAATTATAATAATCTCCTCAAGATATTGTGAAATTGAAGAGATTATTCATGAATTTAAGAATTTGTAAAAAACTCCAAACTTAAAAAAATATTATAAACCTCCTTTTGCACCCAAAGTGCCCCCTAATTACCATTTAAAAAAGATAATTAAATTAGAAACTAGAAAAAGTTAGGGAAAAAGAAGAAGAAATAGGGCATTATTAGCTTTTAGGTCGAACAATAATATTAATTTTACCATTTAGTTTTATTCAAAAAAATTTTTTTTTTAATATTCTTTCTTTAATTTTCAGATTTTCTTAATCCAACTACTTTTTCATAAATAATGATTAAGGATAGATTAATAGGGGATTTCTATCAAGTCTTTAATTATTATTATTTTAATTATTGTAATTTCATGATTCAAAAAAATGGTAATAATGATTTACTCAAACATGAATTTAGTTAAATATTTGATTTGATAAAAATAACTTCAAACCTTAAGAAACATTAGAAATATAAATATTGAAAAGGATTTTCTTATATTACATGTTAAACATGAGAAAAGTAATTGATAATAGTTTAACCTTAAATTGCTGATTAACGATAGTATTTTAGTTAAAACTAGTTATATAACCCACGTAATGTTACGGGTTAATTTTTTTTATATATAAAAAAACTAAAATTTAAAGGAATTAGATCTTTAAGTAAGGTTATATTTAAAAGTTTTGAGTTTGACTGCATTACTTGATTCAAAAGTAATATTTATAATAACATTAAAAAACTAAAATTTAAAGGAATTAGATCTTTAAGTAAGGTTATATTTAAAAGTTTTGAGTTTGACTGCATTACTTGATTTAAAAGTAATATTTATAATAACATTAAACTTACATGATTTAATTTTAAATGTGTTTGACTGTAATACCAGATCTAATAACCTTGGATGTGGGTCTAGCTGAAAAATCTGAATTAACCTTTCAAATTAGGGTCTAGTTGAAAAATCTGAATTAACCTTTCAAATTAGATTACCTCATCAAATCTGAAATTTGCGTTATAAAAATTTGATAACTAAATAAAAAAAAATTAATGGGTTAACTAGGTTAAACTATCAAACCAGATTAACTTGTCAAGTCTGGGGTACGTATCATGAAAGTATAATAATTAAATAGAAAAAAAATTAACACCAACAAACCAAACTAAACAAAAAAATTAATTAAAAAGAAAAAAGTAAAAAAAAATTCAGGGTTAACCCATCACACCAAGTTAACCCGTCAAATTTGGGATTTGTGTCATGAAAATCTGATAACTAAATATAAAAATTTAAAATTAACAAACTAAATTAAAAAAATATTAAAAAAAACACAAAGAAAAAAACAAAAAAAAAACCCTATAAAGGCATAAAAAACAAAAACAAAAAAAAAAGGAAAAAAAACTATAGTTTAGAATATTTTAGTATATGTTATTATTATTATATTATTATAAGTATAATTAAGTAATATATAAGTTATATTATTATAATTGTAATTATAATATATAAATACAGGCGTGAGAAAGATATAGTATTTTTTTTCATATTTTTAAAGTATTGTACTACGTATTAAGATTATTGTTAACTAGAATGTTTACCCTATAGTTTGATACTTTTATTTTAGATGGATCTTGGTTAAAATAAATATTGTGCTTTGTATTAAAAGAAAATATAGCAAGTTTCATGATGATTTATATATGCTTGGACAAGTTCGAGTATATAATAAATCTGCTTTCTTTTCAATCGATAGTATTTGTTCTTGCATTTAAGATTATATATAGCTGTGTTTAATCTGAAAAAACATTAAATTAATATATTAATAAAAAATAACAATAAATTTTATTTTAATAAATATTAAAATAAAAAAATATTTTTTAAAAATATTCTCCACCGCAGGAACATGCTTTCCTTTAAAGTTATCTATACGATGTTCTTTTCACTCATGGCTTTCCACACATGTTGACATCCAAGGCCACAACCACAACATCAATCCTGCCGTGTGGACCTGGGTTTGAATAATTTGGGTGGACTGCCTACATGTACATAGATAACTGGATGATGCCTTGCATATGTGGGCCTGGTTTCATTTTTCTTAAAATATCAGATGAAAATTGTTAGATCGTTGTCTGCCATTTCATCTATAAAATAAGCTAATTCATAAATGAAAAATAAATAAATTTCATGGGAGCCGAGAGTAAGCACCTAACCGATCATGGACATGCTGCACCTAACCGAAGGCATACGGACACCTACCCTCTTTCCAAGATCTGCTCCTGCCATCGAATATGTTCTATTTTTTATGTATATGTTCCTCATTACATTATACAATAAGAAAAGAAAAAAAAAAGATGAAATTCTTTTATAAGATTCAAGAAAAAAAAAAAGAAAAAACCTTCCCAAATTTAAGATTTAAACCATGCTAGATTATTGAAAGCAAACACAAACAAATAAATTTATATAGTTTTTAAAATTAAATATGTTTAAAAAATTAATAGATTATATATTATTGCAGAAATGATACAAACATTTAATTTAATCCAATATAAATAAAAAAAATCTAGTATTTCATTTTTTCACTCTCAAAATTATACTTGCACTTACTGTAGACACTTACTCTCTTGTTGTCTTTATTTACAGAAGAAATAAAAGTTTTGACATCAACCAATAAAAAACAACAACTTAATTGGAAAGTGACGGTGGTTCAAAAGTAAATGATAGTGGTTGAAAAATATTTACATAAAGTTGCTACATTTTAAACCTTCGACAGATATTTTTCTCCATCACTACATTCTTAACTTGAAGGAGTAATAAATAAATAAAGATGAAATAGAGGAGGAGTTATTGGTTTGAGTCGTTGGTGGACTTCACGTGCTCACCTTCTACCCAGTAGCTCCAAGCCGGATCGTTCGCTCGGTTGTCTAGAAAATGAAACGTCAGTTATAAATCAAGACACATCTCTGTGAGAGAAATAAATACCATAACAATAATTCTCTATCACATTTTAAGAAAGAATTCTCTGCTAATTCAAATATTTTCATCAAGCATGGCATCCCAGGTGACCAAAAAGACAGCTTGTGTGATCGGCGGCTCAGGGTTTGTGGCATCTTTGCTTGTGAAATTGTTGCTTGAGAAGGGCTATGCAGTGAACACCACAGTCAGGGACCCAGGTTGGTGCTCATTTTCCCCTTCTTGTTCCCTTTTCTTGGCTTGCCCTTTGTTCCTTTGTCCTTTTTGTTTCCGTTCTTGTGAAGACCTAGGAGATATATGAAGAATTTTGTTCTGACGTTTCTTTAGTTTTTTATTTTTTTTCCCTTTTGCTAAATTGCCTGGCCCTGATGGTCAAATGGGCAAGTCAATCGAGCCCATGAGAAAGGTTAGTCTCCGCCTAAAATTTCGTCTAATTTGAGCCATTTATACTGGTCAACGATCTAGAAGTCCTTTCGTGTTCTGTCCCGTGGTCTGTAGGGGCTACCAACATGCTCCATGGTTCTTAATTTATGGCTATATTTATTCAGGCACTTGTCAAAACTTGTATTACACTATCACAATGTAGTGCTTTGTGTATGCAGACAATCAAAAGAAGGTTGCTCACCTAGTAGCACTACAAAACCTGGGGGACCTAAACATATTCGGAGCAGATTTGACTGATGAAGAAAGCTTCAATGCTCCCATAGCAGGCTGTGAGCTTGTCTTCCATGTTGCAACCCCAGTTAACTTTGCTTCTGAGGATCCTGAGGTGCAAAAAATCTCAGAACTACGCTAGTAATACAGTCACTAGAAATTCTAATCATTTTGCATTTTTTGGTATTGAGGTTGCTTCTATTTTTTGTGCTGTGAATATAGAATGACATGATAAAGCCAGCAATTCAAGGAGTGCATAATGTTCTGAGAGCCTGTGCAAAAGCAAAAACAGTTAAAAGGGTCATTTTGACATCCTCAGCTGCAGCTTTATCAATCAATAAGCTTAATGGCACAGGCTTGATAATGGATGAGAAGAACTGGACAGATGTTGAGTTCTTGACTTCTGAGAAACCACCTACCTGGGTAATTAACAATTTACTTGCATAATTCCATGATAGTAGTAGACCTATTTGAACAAAATTAGCAGTCTGAATCAAGCTTATTCTTAACGTGTATAGCAGGCCTATATGCCTGAACAGATTTTAGAATTTTAATCACTGACAAAATTATGTGAATATATATGCAGGGCTACCCTGCCTCCAAGACACTAGCTGAGAAGGCAGCCTGGAAATTTGCTGAAGAAAATGGCATCGATCTCATTACTGTCATCCCTAGCCTCATGACGGGTCCTTCTCTCACGCTAGATATTCCCAGCAGCGTACACCTGTCAATGTCATTGATTACAGGTGCTAAACCAACTAGAAGTCTAGAATGTAAAATATGTGTCATTTTGTTTGTGTTTTCTATCTGTTCAAATTAACAGATAAGTGGCCCTTTTATGGGTTTTTCAACAAATTGCAGGGAATGAATTCCTGAAAAATGCTTTGAAGGGTATGCAAATGCTGTCAGGCTCGATCTCAATCACGCACGTAGAGGATGTTTGTAGAGCCCATATATTTTTAGCTGAGAAGGAATCTGCTTCTGGTAGATACATATGCTGTGCTGTTAATACCAGTGTTGTCGAGCTTGCAGAGTTCCTGAATAAAAGATACCCCCAGTATCAAGTCCCAACTGAGTAAGCTACTAGCCTCAGGAGTTTAGACCTTAAATTTTCCATTTTATAGAAACTATACTGCCTCTGAATCTCTCTCAACTTTTCCTGTTAAAATGTGCAGTTTTGGGGATTTCCCGTCCAAGGCCAAGTTGGCCATCACTTCACAGAAGCTCATCAGTGAGGGTTTCAGTTTCAAGTATGGGATTGAAGAGGTCTATGACCAAACTGTGGAGTACTTCAAGGCCAAAGGATTGCTGAATTGAAGAGTTCTAGTTATTTGTCACCGTCATTAGAAGGATTCGCATTTGGCTGCGGAGAAATTCTAGCTTGGCTGTATGTGGTGTCAAAGAATAATTCCTCTAATATTAAGGAAGTGTAGTCCTGCTATTATGCTGAAGCAATCTAGCGTCTTTATTTCCAGACAGCACGTTCCCATTCAGAACATACCGGAGGTTGCCCGGAATTTACCGAAACTGATCAATAAAACACTTGATCCTTTTCTCGCATCACAGCTAGAATTTGTTGATGCGTTTTCTAGTATCGCTTTCTTTTTAATTAAGAACTAAAAGGATAATTACGCATTTAATAAAATAAATTGAAAAAAAAAACTGAAAATCATTAAAAAAAATTGTTAATGCTAATTTAAAACTAAAATGAAAAGTTGATTTTTATTATAAAAGGTATATAATAAATGCACACATAAATACTTGATCTCATACCGCAGAGCACTTAATTATTTCTTTTTAAGTTTAATTATATAACAATTAAAATGGATATTTGAATTGCGGCAATGGTTTAAATTCAGGAGAAAAATATACCTTTTTAATCAATTAAAATTCCTGGGCCATTTGTTTTTTTTTTAAAAAAAACGAGGTCTGTCTGAGTTAGAAGAATGAGCACTGGTCCAAAACTAAAAAGCTCACGGATATGTAGGCTTAGAAGGCTATAATACCTGTTCACATTCTATTTTCCATGGAATGGACCGATTCTTATAAATAGAGAGAGAGAAGTTTGGACAAAAATTATATTTTAAATAGTATAAATATAATTTTTTTTGTCGTTTCAATAAAAAAAAGTTATTTGAAAAGCTAATTTTATTAGAATGAAATAAATATATTTTTTTATTTTTTTTAATAATTTTGATGTTATTTATTTTTATACATAGTTTGATTTAATTAGTTTATTTTTTGTTGACCCTATTTTATTAGTTCTGGTTCTTTTAAAATATATATAAAAACAGTAATTGTGGAGAAAAAAAAGTATTATAGCATTTTGTTTAGCTTTCCTTTTAAAATATGAAAAATAAAAACAAAATTAAATTTTTTTTTTTTTATTTTTAACTATTCTTTAGCAGCTTCATTGAAAAGGCTCTTAGAAGATAATACAATGCACAATTTATTTTTGATTTTTTGTCTATAACAACAACACCAAAATTTATATCCTTTATTTTCTTTTATAATTATTATAATTATAATGGATTTCTTGCTAAAAATAAAACTACATTTTAAAAGATATTTGGAATTATACTAGCAATTATTTTTTAAAATGTTTTTGTTTGAAAATACATTAAAATAATTTTTTTAAAATATTCTTAACATCAATACATCAAAATAATCTGGAAATATAAAAAAATTAATTTTATTTTTATTTTTTTGAAATACAAAAATATATGGGGGTGTTAATGACCCTGATCTGCGTGCGCGCCTGTGTGTAAAAGACTTGCAGTTGCTGCCTTCTGTCTGTTTAGGCCTATCTTCCTTTATGGGGCCAAGTTTTAAATGGGTAATCAAATTCAATCATTCTATCAATCAACACCCACAAACTACAGAGATTCCTGATGTTTGTACCTTGTAAGAAACAAATTTCTGAAAGGCAAATGTAAGGCAGAATAAACAACATTAGCTGATCGATGTTCTATCCAAAGGAGCCTCCTGGAAACATGAGGATGCCTTTTTCCCGATCGATGGCTATTTATTACTCTGATTCTCAGCACAAGTGCTTATCTGCATAGAGTTTCATCTAGAAACTGTAAAGATCTACCTTGGGGATTCAAATTTAAGATTCCCATGTTTCCTCTGTTCTTCCAGGGATTTTTGGTGCTGGTCTTTTGTCATGGATCAGATTGTTATGCAAACAAAAAAAAAATCTAACAGGAAAAAGAAATTCTTGTTTATCTTCCTAGCTTTTCCTATGTTATAAGCTTCTAACAGCAGTTGGATTTGGTTTTCATGCGTTAACTCTTGCATGGATAGAAACGTAAGTTATAAAATCACATCAGACACTGTACATAGACTATGAATATGGGCTCGGTGAACTGATGGAGGACTGGATTGGATATGATAGGAAGGTGTACTGGATAGGACAGCATTGTCCCGTATTAGGAGATCAAGAGGTAGAACAATAAAAACATAGTTGTCTGCTCTGGTCTAGGGTTTGGCTTGCTTTAATATCATGATTATAGATTTGTAAAATTCAAAAACTCTGTTTTAAATAGAAAAAGTTAAAAAAAATTATTGAGATAACTTTGTTTTGGATAATATAATAAGATTTATTTAAATTTAACTGAATTAACCGAATTTAATAATATAAACTATCAAAACTAGTAAAAATAAACCCGGTTTAGGCTGGATTTCGGATTCATCAGATCAATGAGCTGTGCTATTCTAGATCTTATAACAATGCATAAAAGTGAATTTGTTTTTGTCAATTTCTATCAGTCTCATGTATCAAAGCTACCTAATGGAAAATTGGATAAACCAAGTCAACAACAAAGGTATATGAAAATTTGGATAAACCGGGTTTTATATGAAGATCTGCCGAGGAAGGAGCTCAGAGCTTCACCTTAGCCCAGTTCAGTCTTCGCTTTCCATGCAATGGATCATTTTCTGGATTTTATGTACAGAACTAGGGAACACGCATATGCTGCGCTTCCAGTTGATTTTATTTATGGATCCCGGTCAGCTGCTTCTTCCATTGTTTTATTCATGGGGAACTCCAGCATCCACTAGAAATGCAGCTCTTGGAGTCAAGCCACTACAAGGATAGGCGGCGCAAGTGACGGAAAAAGGCGAAGGTGATTAGGTCGAGTAGCATTTGTCACATGAGAATTCAAAATAAAAATAACACCATGAACCATGAGGAAAGTCAGACTCAGGAAAACCAAAAAAAAAGAAAAGCAAAGAAAACTACCTTGGGTTTCGAGCTTCTCCAAGTGCGTGGTCATCCCCACCAATCCACCATGCCACTAGCAAAAATTTGACACTGTCAAGTGCCAATCAGTGATCCTCTGTATTTGTTGCTTGATGCAATGCAAGTAGCATCCTATGAGTATGAATTTAATGTGTACAAGTCCGTGTAGCTCTAGTCCAGTTAAATTCTTAAGAAAAATAAATTTGGAGAGTAATTTCTTGAGCGTAAGCCTTAGCTAATTCTTGGGTCCGCCATTGTTTAAATAATTCCTAAGTTTCTTTTTATAAAAAAAAATGTAAATAAAGAAAAATATCATAATGCTATTTTATCTTACACAGTTGTATGAATTACCAAAATAGGATGACAATAGTCACAACAGTAATGAAAGCTTGTCGCCATGGCGTATGCAAAGTTGTGGGAGCTTTTATAGCGAGCTAGATAGTTCATTGTTCCCATTTTCTTGCAAATTGTCTGTTGCCTCCTCCAAGTCTTGGTTGATTTTCTTGTTTTTTTTGAAAGTGCCTCGTTGCGTCTTATAAAAACATTGTCTCTGTGCACATTGACCAAGCAACAGCAGATTCAAAGGCACCACTTTTTACTTTTCCTCTTTCCCTTCTCAGAGAATGAGGTCTTCATAATCATAATCATATCTCAATTATCATTTTTGGATTAAGCTGAAAAGTCCCTCTTTTTCAGGCAAAAGACCTTTTCAATTGCATGGCAGTCTGATTTGAGAGGGTTCCTGTTATTGTTTTTTTTTTTTCGGCCAACAATGGAAGTTCGCTACATTCTTGAAGTTGATGTCAATGGAGAAGAAATTTTCTTAGTGGACAAGGTAAGAACACTCCGCTTTGCTTTACCTAGCCTTGCCTACCTTTCGCGTCTATAAAGGTCTCTCGATCCATATTCGTGGTGGTTTCTGCACTGAATTTTCTACTAATTCTTATGCTCAATAAATATCTCTGCTGCCTGCCTCTCGTCTATCTAATCTAAAACCACTGAACGATGGTGTGGGGCTTTTCATCATATTTCAAGTTTCCATTAATTGTTATTTTCACCCAAGCTTTTGTTCTTTTCCACAAATTGTAATAGGGTCTTCAACATTTTGCCGTAGTTTCCACTAAATGCAAGATTCAACAATGTCCTCGAGTAGTGTTTCACTGTTCTGTTTTATGCATTAAATGCCTTTCTCTTGTCGGTAGCTGTTTGGGATTAGAAGGATCCAATGAACAAGGTGTTTTTTTGTCAAGGTTTCTAGTTTTTTGGCTACTTTGGTCATGGAAAGTTTCATTGACTTCTTGTTGCTTTGTTTTCAACTTTCAGTTTCTCATTGAGTTTGTTGCAGGAATTTGGTAAATGTTCTGTTTTAACCATGTGGTCATCTTGTGTGTAAATTTTTTCAGAAAACTCTTTCATCCTTCTCAGATAGGCTCAGCAAATTATTTGGTGATTTGACTGATGGTTCAAGAAAATTGAAAGTAATAGTTGACAACTTTCCAGGAGGTGCATATGGTTTCGAGCTCATTGCAAGGTTTTGCTACAACAATGGCACCATTAAGATAACTCCTTCTAACATTGTGCTGCTAAACCATGCTGCTCATTACATGGAGATGGGCAGTAATAGCTCAGTAAATCTTAATCTAGTAGATCAGACTGAGAAATTTCTTGAAGGGATCAACTACTGGACTTGGTCTGACCTCCTACAAGCCCTTAAACTGTGCCAAGATTTACTTCCTACTATAAATTCTTCATTTTTGCTTGATAAAGTCTTGGATTGCCTTGTAGGGAGGCTTACTTTGCCAACTATGGCAAGCCCATTTACATGTTCTTCAAACAATTCCAGTTTTCAGTTCTCATGTGATACAAGCAGCACCTGTAGTACGAGAAACAACTGGTCTCAAACAACTTGGTGGTTTGAAGATCTTTTGGTTTTGAATGTTAATTCATTTGACAAAGTAATCAGGATGATGATGTCCCAGAAACTAGATCATGCTACCATTTTTAAGTTCATCGTTTTTCGCCTAAAATCGAGATATTTCAGTGTCACAGCATCTGAGAAGTGCAAAATCACAGAGGTTGCAATCAATCTGCTTTCACTGCTTGATAGGAGCTCTCTTTCTTGCAGAGGCTTATTTGATATTCTACTAGCAGTCTCAAGGTTGAAAAATATAAGCAAGTTTCATGCACTCAAGTTAGAGCATCTGGTTGGTTCAATAATAGATCAAGCAACTTTGGATCATCTACTTGTTCCATCTCCACACAGGAACCATCATGTGCATGATGTGAATTTAGTTTTGAGGCTCTTAAAAGCATTTTTCCTTGAAGGTTCAACGATGTCTCGAAATCAATTGAGGAAGGTTGCTAGCTTGATGGATTCGTACCTTATAGAAGTAGCTCCAGATATCCTTCTGAAACCTTCCAAGTTTGCAGCATTGATAATGGTTCTGCCAGATTCTGCTAGAGAATTCAGTGACAGACTCTATCAAGCCATTGAGATGTATCTCCAGGTATGCTAGTTAATTTATGGCATTTGAAAAGCAAAAAAAGCATAAAGATATCTAAATTTTGTCTGAGCCAATCTATGTGTGTTCTTTTCAAATTTGGAATGCTTGGAATGACTTGGCTCAACACAGGTCCATGTTCAATTATGTGAAGAGGTAAAGATAAGACTGTGTTCTTTTGTCAACCATGATAAGCTCTCGGCAGAAGCTTCCAAACACCTTGCTCAAAACTCAAACTTTCCACCAAGATCAACACTCAAAAGTTTCATTACTCAGAAATCCAAGCTCAATAGCTTAATCCATAATCACTTATCTCATTTCAAAGTCTCAAGCCAATCGAAGTTTCATAGCAATGCCATGGAAGAACAAGAGGGCTTTGATCAAATCCTTATTTATGCAAGAAAGCATGGACATTCAGAGATTGACAATCATGAAACCAGATTGCAAGGAATGCAGAAAAAGGTGACAGAATTGGAGAAAGTTTGTGCAAAATCAAGATTGCATGGCCCTGGAAAGGCTAGATCATTGCCGAAACTTTGTTCATGATAGGAATTAGGCTTCAAGATTCTTGTGATTTTCACATTATGCCTTGGCTAATTGTGTATACAGGATGAAAATTGGATTGATGTAAATATGCAATTTCTTTGTTTCTTTCTTTCACTCTAGCAAAGCTCGGTGCAGAGCACATATTTAGCAGAGTGGGAGTGAATTGAACTGCATTAGGACAGCACAATCCTCGTACAAGACTTTGGCATCACCACCACTAAGAAAATGTTGCAGGGAATTTATCAAATTTATCAAAACATGTAAGCACTTTCATTTTCCATTGGCCTACCCGGAATTTGATCTTTTGGCATCCTCGAAGTGATTGATAGTAAGGAAAATGTTCAATTCTAATTGCACCTTAATCTATACTTTTGATTTGTTTTCTAAAGCACTTCTTTGAAATCAAGCAAACTTGAGGTCTTGAACCCATCCAACTTTAAGCAAATATCAGTGCTATTTCATAGAAATGCCATGCATGAGCCATCATGCTAGAAAGTAACTTGAGATTTGCTTGTCCTTTGGACAATATAATACTACTTGAATCATTAACATGCCATATAGTTTATTAGAATGGCAACAAACCACAATATTAAGTTCCTCACATGAGAGGTAAATAGGGTGGTATCTAACTGTTTAAGGCGCAAAAATCAGGGAATAAGAAGAAGAAGAATAAAGTCGTTGAAGCATAGATATTAAACTCGGGACTCCGATTCTCGTATTAGCAAACTAGAACTCTGATTCTCAAATGCAATGGAAGCTCATAATCCATATTTCAAACAAAAAACAGATCCTCTTGGTGTTCTTGGTTTATCTTACCTTTCCTCTTGGTATTCTTGGTTTATCTTACCTTCAAAAGGTAACTGCAGCTTACAAAATACTTGCATATGGTATTTCTGCAGATCTTACTGATGAATATCTTCAAATTGGAGAAACCATTGTCATAGAAAGTCTTAGAGCTTTCGTAAAAGCAATCGTAGAAGTTTTTGGTGATTATCTAAGGGCACCAAATGAGGCTCATATTTGTTGATTATTATCAATTGGAGAACAGCGTGGATTTCCAGGGATTTTAGAAAGCATTGACTGTATGCATTGGAAATGAGAGAAATGCCCAATTGCATGGCATGAGATATATACTAGTCATTGTCGTGAACCAACTGTAATTCTAGAGGTGGTGACTTCACAAGATCTTTGGTTATGACATGTCTTTTTTAGAATGTCTGGATCATTAAACAATATTAATGTTCTTGATCAGTCACCTATCTTTGTTGCACTTGCTGAAGGTCGTACTGCTCCTGTCAATTATATAATTAATAGGCATGAATATACAATGGGATACTATTTAGCAGATGTGATTTATCCTAATTGGTCAACCTTTGTTAAGACAATCCCAAGACCATTAGGAGCAAAGAGAAAATATTTTGCAAGCAAGCAAGAGTCTGCAAGAAAAGATGTGGAGCGAGCATTTGGGGTGCTCCAATCTTGTTTTGCAATTGTACGTGGACCTGTTCAATACTGGGATGAAAAAACGCTTATATATATTATGAAAGCTTGCACAATAATGCATAATATGATTATTGAGGATGAAGAAGCAACGAACCTTGGATTTAACCATGAACATGAAGTCAATTCCTTTATATCAGTGTCATATGGTGAAATACCAGAACTATATGATTTGCTTCAAACTCATAATCGAATTGGAGATAGAGCAACTAGCTCTCAACTACAAGAAGATTTGATTGAACATTTGTGGGAACAATATGGCAACGAGTTGAATTTTTAGATTTGAACTTCTTATGTTATCATGATTTTCAAGTTTTTTATGTTTTTTTTTTTCATTATGGTGGTTATCTTTTAAGTTAATTAATCCTACTTATTATTGTTAAGTGTTAGATGAATTTTAAAAAAGTATTATGAATTGATATCAATTTCATAACAATATATTTAAAATAACCAAGAATTTTCTATATATTTAATTAAAAATACATTACATTACAATAAATCAATCAAAGTTCATTAAAAATTAAAACCCCTCTTTTGCATAATTTCTAACTTTTAATTTTAAAAATACGCTGCAGAAATTGGATCCAAATTAAAAATATTCATTTTTATAATTTGTTCTTCTTTCTCAATCCTGTCCAATTCTTGTTTCTCTTGATTTTGTTAAATCATGGCTTGGTGCTCTAACATAATTTTCTTGTCTTGCTTCTTCTGATCCTCAATTTTAATTATAATATTCCTGAATTGTTGTAAGAGATTCGTTGCAATTACCTCTCAACTTTATCTTTTCCTTGTCTATGTTTAAGTTGTTCCTTTGCAGCCTTTTGACCGATTGGTCTATCTTGATAAATCAATGGTTCACCATCTTTTCCTAAACTAACAGAATCAGGGGTAGATGGAGTTGATGAAACCGAACTTGCATTGACATGACTTTTTTGTTTCTTGTTTGACCTTTTATGTTGACTTGCATACTCAAGTTGCCATTTGGGTTCTTTTCTTAAGATGACCCAATAATGTTCTAGTTGAAATTATTTGCCAACGTAAGAAGCATACATTTGTTGAGCATTATTAATCTGGTAAAAATAAATAAAATAAATAATATTAAAATATGTGTTAAACAATTTAACATAGAAATGAATATTAAAATTATCCTTGATTTTTCGGTCATTCCACTTTGCTGATGATTTTCAATTTGAGTAACAAATCCAACAAATTTACCGACTTCTCTATTTATTTCTTACCATTTATTTGAGATGCTTATTTGGAAACGATTATTCAAGTTTCCTCCATTCTTTATAAAGTAAATATGTACGCGAGCCCAAAACTCTTTTGTTTATTATTCAACTCCTGTAATTAGATCCTTGCTTGTATTTAGTTATGCAGAAACAAAAAACAATCTTTCTATGGTGAGAATTTTTTATTCTTTGTGATTTTTTTACCGAATGGATATTTAAATTTGAGTATGTTAAGTTATCAATTAATTGATTAAAATCACTTGGTTGAGAGAGAATATCTTCTGACTCACTCATAAGAAAGTTAGTAAAAGAGTTTGAAAAATTTGAATCCATCTATATTTAAAAAGAAAACTCAAGTTAAAACCTTATAAAAAAGTGTAAAACAAGCTCACATTCAATGTCTAGTGATTTTATAGTTTTCATACATATGAATTAATAATAAGCATTGCATCCTATTTGTTCTAACATAATAATTTGACCATTTTTTGGAATTAAAAGAGAATTGATATACTAGTTTAATTGTATTTTCAACAAGACAAAATATAATTGATCTCAAATTAAAATAGACAATCAAAAATAAATTTTAAATATGTCA